TTATATTTTATTTATATTTTATCAATCTTATATTATTATTTATATTTTATCAATCTATGTAATTTTATATATAAAGGGCATCATATTAAGATAATAAAGATTAACTTGTATTTTTACAATCATTAAAATACCGTTCGAGAAACTATTATCATTAAGAAAAGTAAACATTACATTGTGCTTAAACTCAATTCAATTATGCTCGACCGAAACGAATTAACACCTCTAGTTGTGGTGTAATGTTTAAATGTGCATTTCACACTCTCTATACAGACCATTTTGGCTTACTATTACAAAAAAATCTCTGTTATAGACAGTAATGATTTATTATTATTATATATGGGATATATAAACCTATAAACTGGGCTTAAATTATCAATATGTTATAGAGCAAGATATTATTATTTAAAATGATTTATTTTTAATAAATAAATCCCTTTATTAATTTATTTCATTTCCAATTTTTTAATATCGTATAATTGTCTGCTATGATTAATCCAATCATATTATTATGTAAGAAGATTAAAAGTATAAAAAATAATATTAATGATTCCAATTATTAAAAAGTTTCAAGATGCCAAAAAAGATACTTTATAAGACTAATCATATCATATTTTATTTGTTCTATCATTTTTTTTTATTATAATAATGATGATAGATTGATAGATTGTTAGTTGTATATATTAATAGCAATGATAACAAAATCAAAAGATTATCATAATCATAGTTATATACAATATCAATAACATTTACAATAATAAAGAGAATCAAAATGCAAATGAAAATAAAAATGAAGATGAAGGTGAAAAGAATGATAGTGAAAATGAGGTCATTGATGGAGGTGTTGATAATAATAATGATCTTGAAATTGGGGAGAGAATTTTGATAGTGATGAAAATGATGGTAATGAAGATGATGATCATAGTTGAATTTTTTTGCAAATTTCCAGGCTATGGCAAGATTTTAACACAGTTTAATCCATGGTGAAAAAATCTAAAGTGTGAATATCCAGGATGTACAAAATCATTTTATCAACAAGGTGGTTTGCTAAATCACACAAAACTCCATATTGTAATAAGAGATTTCAAGTGTGAATATCCAGGATGCGCTAAAGCATCTTATTTTAAAGCTAATTTATGACATCATACATTATGCCGTTCTGGAATAAAAAATTTCAAGCGTGTATATCCTGGATGCACTAAGGCATTTTATCAAAACAATGGACTACAAGATCATGCAAGACGTCATCTTGGAATAAAAAATTTCAGGTGCGAATATCCAGGATGTACTAAAGCTTATTCTGCTAAAGATACACTACTAATGCACACAAATTCAAATATCAACTTACAAAAATTTCAAATGTGAATATCCAGAATGTATCAAGACATTTTATCAAAAAATTGGATTTTAATTACATACAAAAAGAATTCATCTTGGTATAAATGATTTAAAGTGTGAATGTGCCAAAACATTTTATAGTAAAACTAGTTTAAGAATACATATAAAATGTCTTTTTGAATAAAAAAATGCTACAACAGTATCCTCACAAGAAAAATGCACGACCCAAACTTCCAGAGGGCAAAGTTGTTCGGCACATTTAAATACTTATTCAAAATGCTCATCTAAATTTGATGTGGGCGCCGTTGCCAAAAGTTCGAAAATGGCTATAGGGTGGGGCTCTCCACTCTTCTTTATTGTAAGATTGCAATAAAAGTAGTGGTAATTTCCATCTTTGCAAACTTGTCCTAGGTGCCACTGTCCAGTGATTTCAAACCTATATACCTTTACAGCCATTTATGCAGGATTGGGTACATCTCTACATCATAAACATTCTCTCTAGGGACAGTATACATTACTTTTAGAACCCACTTGTAAATGATTTGAACTTTTGTAAGAGCAGAGAGACCCTTGTGTGATAGTATTTTTATCAAAAGTTCGCACGACAGACTTCACCACTTTAAGAACATTTGTTGCCAAACTATTGGCTTGTAAAGGTATGTCTTCATTGGGAAAAGCAACTCATCTTTGGAATTATAGATTCCGATTTTCTTCCATTACAGATGATGACGACAACAATGATGATGGTGATGCCTTTTTATTTTTGTTTGCTTTTTTCCATAATTTATTTACTTTATCAAGATCCATAACCAATTCCTTCTCCAGAAACAGTAGATCTTTTGTCAAAAACTTATATTGATAGATCCCATGATGTCTACCAGGACGAAATCAGTAAACACACCCGATTCAGTACTTGCAAGGGTAATTATTCCCCACACTTATCAGGCAAAGCTAATAAGATACAAGAACCTGGCTAAAAGCCCATCCCTCTGTCTGACTTTATTATCCATTATACTTACTTTTTTACTATTTATAAGTTTGTGGCCCACATTACGTATTTCTTATGACGCATTCAAGTCATTATTAATATTACGTAAAGTGTTAAAGAATGCACGATGAGCCTTATCCTTTTTAGCATGTTCGTTGCCATCCAATCATATGATGGCAAGTGACATTGCCCTTTTGTTTTTTGTTCTCCGTTTTTTGGTTTTTTTCGTAATTTTTCATTATTATATTCGTGTTTTTATTAATTATCACATTTGTAACTCCCCATCTACTTCATCACCACCATTAAAAAAGAATGCTAAATGTGGAAGTTTTTGATGTGAAAATTAAATATCAGATAATAATAATTTGAATCAATTGCAAAACTAGCACAAAAGTTTTTTATAAAAAATTTAAATGCATGGACCAATTAGTTTTTTTACCTGTGCAAACTATCAACATGCGATAAAATTGATGAATCTTTGTTAGACCTTAACAATGGTTCAGTAGATATACTGTTATGTATGTCTTTCTAATATATCTTATTTTAACATTAAAGTAATTACTCATGCAAAGGACATGAATGTTGCCTTTGACAAATTATTTAATTTAGCACCATTACCTGAAGAAATATCAAAAGTTTCAGACTTGAATAAAACAGACTTTAAGTTAAAAAAAAAAAATAGTTTTAATGACTTTAATAATAATAATGTTGATGGTTACCAATCTAAAAAAAGGTCAATGTCTACAGCAAGTGAGCCATGCAGAATGACAAGATATGCAAGTATAAGTTCAAATAAACAGAAGAAAGATTCTTACTTGGGCACCTCAGAATCTTATGTAATGTTATCACAATCACACATGAGAATGGATTATCATCTGATAGTGATGATATAAGTAACAGCATTATTATCAATGATGATAGACAGCAATGGGCCAGTATTAGTTATCAATTGAAAGTGACAAATTGGTCTTTTTGATTTGATGAATTCAAGATCAGAGTTGTCTCATCCAATGTGCCAAGAATATACTGAGATGTTGTTGGATAGTTTGGGTAAACAGTTAACAGACACTTCAAAAGAACGTGATTGTTATAAAGATTTTTTAAAGAAAATGAATGGAAGTATTATTAGTGATGAAGAGACTGAAAAATTACAAAAAGAAATTCAAGAGGCAAGCCATTGATAGCAATTAATTATGCAATTTCATATATATGTTATTTATAGGCAAAGTTCATAATTATAATATTAATAACAATGATTAAGTTATTATTTATTAATTTATTTATTTTGGTGGATAGATTAAAAATAAAGAATTGGCAGCAACTGATATGTTGAAAGATATTGAACATGAGAGAGAAGTATTGAAAAAAGAATTAGAAAAATTAGAGGCAGAAACAAGTCAACTTGATGAGCTCGAAGAAAAGTAATTACATACATACATAAAGAATATCTGATTGTTTGTTTTGATTATTACAATTATATCTATACTAATTATCATAATTTTTTTTTTAAAATAATAGTTATTGGAAAGAATTTAATAATTTTCATATTCAATTACAATCTTTTCAAAATGATAGGGATAGTATAAATTTAAAATATGACCATGATACAAAATTATTAGAAAAATTACATAGAACCAATGTCTATAATGACACTTTTTGTATTGGTCATGATGGATATTTTGGAACTATAAATGGATTTCGACTTGGACGTTTACCCAAAATTCCGGTAAATTATTACTATCATAATTATAATTATAATTTTTACAAAAGTTTTAAACATAAAAATATATAAGGTGGAGTGGAATGAAATCAATGCTGCATGGGGACAAACTGCATTATTGCTATCAATAATTGCAAAACGGCTTAAATTTACATTTCAAAAGTATGTAATTTTATAATTCTTTAAAACAAAAATTTTAAATAATGTAGAAATGTATTGATTTTCGTTATTCTATTTTATTTTATTTTTATTTAGTTATAGATTAATTCCATTAGGCTCTTTTTCACGAGTTGAAAAAATTGATGGTGACAGTATAACAAGTTATGAATTGTAAGTATTCAATCATTTCTTTTTATTTTAAATGTTCAAAATATATATATTTGTATATAATTATTTTAATCAAAACTATTACAGGTATGGTACAGGTGATATTGCAATAGGAAGATTATTTCAGAATCGTCGTTTTGATAGTGCAATGGTAGGATTTTTGAATTGCCTACAGCAATTAGGAGAATATGTGGAAAGTGAAGATCCCAAATTAAATTTACCATACCGGTAGGATCTTGTTTTGTTTTGTTTTTGTGAATAAATCAGAAACAATTTGCCATGATTTTCTTCCTTCATATTTATTTATCTATTTGATTTATCATTCTCACAATTACACACACATATACATATAGAATTAACAAAGATAAAATCAACGATGCATCGATACGACTACAATTCAGTGTGGAAGAATGGACAAGAGCATTAAAATATACTTTGGCATATCTTAAATGGATTTTAGCATATGCATCATCAATTAAAAATGGATCTGGCAAAAATTAATTCAACAGATTGAATATTGAAATATTGAATAGAATTTGTTTTATTATTTATTTATGGTTTAAATTTTTATTTATTTAAATTTTTTTTTTGTGTGGTAACAGAAATAAATATATTTACTGAATAATGAATATTTTTTTTTGAGTTGTGCCATCAAAAATGTGTTGTCTCTAGTTTTGAAAGACTCACGTGATTCCGGAAACTCATTCTTGGGAACCATTGTGATCAGTTGATTGATCTCTTTGTAATATTCATTAGAGTCGTTTTACATTTTTTCCATATACATATTATATATTGTGGCAGTTCAATTTTGACATCATAATCTAATGTTAGTAAATGTGTAAACATTAAATATTCCAATTACTATTATTACTATAGTGCGGGTCATACACTAACTCATCTTGGTCAGCTTTAAAGCTAGATAGGGAAATATTGAATTCTTATCTGAAAAAAGAAAGTCAATATTTGATAGCTTCTACAATTCATTGTCGAGATAATAAAAAATTACTGGTCTCAGGGTTATTTTGTTTTAAAAATCATGTGTTTTATATGTTTTATATTTTCTAAATTGAAGCATTTGAAATTTTTAAAAGCTAATTCTGGAACTAATACTAATACAGTCAAACCTTGATAAACCGAACTACTATAAACCGATTTTCGCTTTATAACGATACAAAATTGATTAACCGAATCGTGTTTAATAAAAATTATTTCGTTAAGCCGAATTTTATTATAATTTCTACTTTACTTGATAAACCGAACTTAATGGATTGTACAAATAATAAAAATGTAACTTTCTAAGCCGAATATGATCATAAACTTGTTTTAAAAATTCGTCTTATAATGGATAAAATTCGGTTTAAAAATAATGTCGATCTATTTTCTATGAAATTTCTACTTTAACGCATGTTCTAATAAAAAAGCACGAAAATTAGAATTTTTGAAGTTAATAATGTTGAAATTGAAGTTGAATAAGAAAATCGTGAAGTTCAAGATTTAATTAACTAACTCCCATTTGATGATTCACTTTTAGCGGACGAATATTTAAATATTGAGAATAACATGGTTGCAGGTGAATTAGTAATGGAAGATTAGGATATTATTGCATTAATTCAACCAACAGAAATAGATGAGCAAGCAATAGGATGAAACCTTTATTCCAAAAATTTCTAATAATGGGATTTATTAAATTTTTTAGTATACCCTCCAAGTGATTTCGATGTATATGAAGATGAATTAATGTAAAAAAAAATAATATTAATATTAACTTCACATGTATAATGTCTTTAACAATAAATTTAATTGATAATACATGATTTTTAAGTTCATTAAACCTTTACCTCTAAGAATATTTATTATAGAGTCCACTCACACTTTCTAATAATAACGGATCCTCTGTAACATACTGAGAATGATATATCAATATTGATATTAATATTAAGCCCGACCTATATGTCCAATATTAATATATATAAATTATATTGTTGATAACGGATTACCTATAATAAACATTTTTCCCTAGTTATAATATTAATACTAATACTAATACTAAGTCTAACGGTTCGTTATAGAGTGAACTGTATATAGAAAGAAAGAATTTTTATTATTGTAAATGCAATTAAGATTCAATAATAACAAAAATATTACTAAAAAACAAATTTTCTATATAAAAATTTCCAACAATCCACGAGTGCTAAAGAGTAAACTTTTTTCTTTACTTAAAGTAAAATAAAATATATTAATATGTTTTCTGAGTTATGTTTATCTGCACGCCAAAAAAAAAATTTTATGTAGTGGAGCAACCAATTATTTAGATTAACAAGTAAAAACTTCAACAATACATAAATATGTAATTGATTGATTTACGTTAATTACGTTAGATCATCATCATCAGCATAATAATAAACTAGGGGTGCATAATATCGATGCCCACGGCTTTAAAGTATAATAATAATAATAATAAATTTACATATTCAAAAAGAGTTAATCAATCAATTAAATATTTTTTCCATACTTACAAAACTTGTGCAAGTCTGTATTCCTTATCAAATAATGCTTCTCTATTTGGTGGTGGTGGTTTTGATAAAACATTATCCTGCTTATTATCAACAATGAAAGGATTTTGTAATAATTCCTTTATAATAGGTGAACCGATCACTTCAACAATTGGTTCAACTGTGTCATTTTGAGGCTTTTGGTTGTTTTGACGAAGACTAGAAGAAAGTAAAAATAATTTAATCTTAAAAAGTATATTATATAAGGTAAATAAACACATTTTCTCTTTTTCAATTAAAATTAGATAGTTAACTCTTCGTTTGTTGAAGTTAAAATGGAATGTTTATGATCAGGTGTAACCGTAATTTTTGAATTCGTATTTTTCCAATATTATTATTTTGCGTTTGAAGTTGACTGTTGAAACTAATATTAATAATTATTTACACTTCAATGCAAAAATCCATCATCTAAAATTTCAATTCACTAAATTCGACGCGTATTATAATTATCATAAAAATTTTTACTGATTGAATAAACGGGGTTTTTTTTAATTGAAAAAATGTCAAATTTCTCAACGGAAACGGAAAGTAATATTAAAAAAAATTGATATTAATATGATGAATGTAACAATTAATTTATCATCGTCCGTCCGTCAATCATTTTATAATAATAATCTATAAAAAATATGTTTTATTGATTTAACCGGCTGTAATACGAACAATCGAATATAAACTTTTTTTTTCACACATAATTTAAATATAGCAAAAGAAACTAATTAATTGAAGGAATTGAAATCGTGTAGTAAAGATGCAAAAAGAAAATTAATTTTTTATTTATAATTTAATTAATATATATATATACATATGCATTATTTGTTCTAATAATAATAAAAATACTAATTGTTTTTTTACACACGAGTAATTTTTTTATAATAAGATTTAACAGATCTCCATTCATTCTGATAGACTTCTTGTGATTTTTGAAGTCGATTATTAGTTCGAGGTCTTTTTTCTTGATGTTCATTACCATTATTAATTCCTTCACGTTTTCTTTTGTGTTCAATAGATTTATGTTCATTCTGGGATGTTCCTTGTGATTTTTGAAGTTGATTATTATTAGTTTGAGGTCTTTTTTCTTGATGTCTATTACCATTATTAATTCCTTCATGTTTGCTTTTATGTTCAATAGATCTACTATGTTCATTCTGGCATGTTTCTTGTGATTTTTGAAGTTGATTATTATTAGTTCGAGGTCTTTTTTCTTGATGTTTATTACCATTATT